CATGGAGTTCCAGGCTCCTCCTCCCTCCACTTGCTGTTCCCGCTTGCCATTTTCCTGTGGCCCATCTGGCCAGTCCATGGGCAGACGCCAGGGCAGAGCTAGTCAGCAGGGGTTTGGGTGCATAGAAGAAGGCATAGCCCCGGCTGACAGCTGGCGAAGGCCTGCAGCAGCACGGAGGTGGAGGGGGCGCAGGCAGGTGCAGCCCTGGCCCCAGCCCTCACTCATCTCCTTGCCTGGGAGCCCTGCTGTCCACTGTGGTTTCCTCCCTGCCCTGGAGGCCTAGCCAGGTGTCCCCGTGCCCTCGTCTTAAAAACAAACTCGGCGGGGGGTGCTCTACACAAGGGACAGCCCCCCACCCCCGGGTTGGGTCATGTATGTGCAGTGGCCTGAGGTATGTATTTATCCCCACCATGTGTGTTCCCATTCATTGCGGGATCTCTTCTCAGACCAAGAGATGAAGTCCTAACTCGCATCAGAGAAGTGGCCACGTTTTAAGACAATGTGGTGGGCTCCTGCGGGGCCTCTGGAATCTGCAAAGTTGGTTCTGACGGAGAAAGCAAGCTCCGGGCCCTGAGGTGTTTCTCCTTCTCGCTCCAGGCTTTTGTGTGCACGTTTTCCAAGGCCCTGCAAGCGGAATATAAGGAGAAAGGAATCATTGTCCAGGTGAGGCTGACGGTTCCGAGTCCCCTGAAGAGGCGCTCCAGGTCCCTGTGGAGCCGGCCCCTGCCTCCTGCAGGGCTGGTGCTGAAGTGCAGCAGGAGGAGCGGTCTGCATGACTCTCTGGGGTTCCTGCGACCCTTGCACTGGCTGCTGTGCCCTGTGGTTGCGCCTGCTGCCACCCTCTGCGGTGCCCTGGGCTGGAGCAGGAGACGGGGCAGGGCCCAGGAGCGCTGGCGCCCCTCTTGCTACCCGATGCTGCATCACGCCAGCATGGGGCCTGGTCGGCCATGCTTTCCTCTCTGCTGTAGGTACAGGAGACGGGCTTGTGTGGGAGGATGGTGGAGAGG